ATAAGGATTTTTCTGTAAGATGAATAAGCATAGTTTCAAGTCCATAAAGAAAACAACAGCCAACAGGAGTAGAAAAAAAGTGAGGGAAGCAATGTTTTATTTTAAAATGTTTGAAGTATGAATGAAGCTCAGTTAAAGTAAGACTGTCAAAAATACCACCAAGTGCCTAAAGCCCACTCTGATGTTATCTTATTGCAATTCTCCTGTGTTCTCCCACGTATTTCTGTTCTTGGCTAAGACATAGCCCAACCCATCAGTCTGCAGGGACAGAAGGGTGTTCCTTCTGCTCCTCCTGGGACTCACTGGGCAGCTGGCATGGAAAACGTGGTGTCACTTTCTTTGATGTGTACTGTAGCCAGCTCCCCTGCAAACTGGAGGGGCATTTCTGGTGGCAACCCAAACTCAGCTTCAGCCTGAGCTTTCTGGAGGGATAGTTATGTCTCAAGGTATGAGAGATATGTTACTATCATCATTTCAGCATGGCTGTAGAAACAGGAAAATATTTAATTCCAGATAAGTTAATGAAGTCTTATTTTCAGCCCTTAGTCCTTTAAATAGCAAGACAGGAAATACGAGTATTTTGCAACATCTGACAGAAAAGGAAAGTACCTGCTTTATTCTTTTATGGCTTGTTAGCCTATTGAACAATGACGTGAGAATGTGTTGGGACAAACCTGATGAGGTGCTCTCTGCCAAGAGATGCCCATTAGGCTGTTTGTTTTTCCCCTTTCTAAAGGTGTCATTTGCCTTATGATGGATCCTGAAAATATCCAAGGTAACCAAATGCCCAGCACTGGTTGAGACCCTGGAGTAGAGAGTTGTTATTGCAAGGTCTGCCACATGATTTGGCACCTGGAAATTACCCAGTTTACAAACATATACTTTAAAAAGAAGTAATGTTCTCCAGTTTTAGAGAGGATTTGCAATATACCACAGAGGAAAATCTCTTTTGCAAAAGTAGAATGACTAAAGATTTTAGCTTACCCTAGCAACCCTGGTGTGGAGCACCTGGCTGGATACTCTGGTGCTAAGACTGCTGACAGCTGTGTCAGCCTGTCCTCCTGTGCTCAGGAGACGTGTGGTACCCACGTTCAGCGAGCAGAACAGGTGGACCCCATTATCCTCTTGACTCCATTTACTTCAGCCATTCAAATCCAGAATGCTGTCTTTGTAATGACCCAGGACAGATTGCTTTATTGCTGTTCAGGACATGGGTACACTCTTTTATGACTCTTTTATACCACTCTCCTTTTTCATAGTTTGTTTCTAGCCTTCCTCACTGGAATGGAACTAAATATAAATTTAACATAGAGGGTGGGGAAAATGAAAAGGAAAAAGGAAAGAGAAAGGGAAAGGGAAAAGGAAAGGGAAAGATGTTTCAGACATATGTGAGAAGACGCAACTAAAAGACTGCTTTAAACTGCCTCCAGGTCTCAATCTCAGCCAAAATAATTTCTCAGTATACTTTGGGGAAGACATGAGAAATGAGAGTCATCATTCATAGAAAAATCAGTGTGGAGAAAGCTAGCATTTTGTGTCACTTCAGCCACTGAGGAGCAGATATTGATGGAATGGTGCTTTGCTGTGCTGTAGACTCAGAGCAGATGGATTTCCCAAAATATACACACACATAAATCAAAAGGAAAATGACATCATATGTTAATCAGCAACTGATTACACTGCAAATAGTGTTTTGAAGCCATGTATCTGCCACTTGTAAACAAGACATCTCACTGATCTAAAGCACATTAGACAATGCAGCAACAGCTTTTATCTCTGAAGAGGTGAAACCAGAGCTGTGCCAGCACTGATATAAAATCTGTAATCTAAAAATTAAACCAGATATTGCAGTGCATATTCAGATTCAGGAAAGGCTTATATTCTTTTATGGCTAGTAAGACTAATAATAACTTTTACTATGACAAAGTTTTTATTTTTAAAGACGCACATCCTCCTACTTCAGCATGCAGATTAATCTCTTCCTGCAGGTGCCAGTAACCCAGACTGAATGGGACTATAATACATGAAGCATTATTTTGGATAAGCGGTCCCCAGATATAATCCCTTCCTAAACCCATCTGCATGTGTAAGATTGTACTCTGATAACGCTGATGAAAATGGTCTTCCCAGGAAGGGCCAGGCAGCTATCACAGGCTGCTGTTGCAATTCATACACTTTTTCTTGTCAGCATCCTGAGCAGCCCGCTCTGCCTAGATAAGGAGTTTGATGCTAAATTCAACCTTCCTGTCTCTGGTAGCTGCTTCCCCCTTCCTGTGAATGCTGTTTACATCAGGGCAGTCAGCACACAGAATTCCGAGCACACTCAGACTGCTGACAATCCCAAAGCTCCTAGCTGAAAGATGTATGCTTTCTTATCACATCTACTGCAATGTCTTAGGCCACATGGCTTCCCTTTAAATAGAGATTGAAAAATTCTATGGATACTTGGATATCCTATCACCATTCAAGAGTGAACATTTTTTCCCCTCTGCAGGCAATCACATTTTCTAAGCAGAGGAATTTAAGGTACTAAGGAGCTACAATATTACGTGCTGGTCTGACTGCTGTGAAAATGCCTTTCCTTCTCTCTGCCTCCCAGTTCTTTAGCAAAAAGTTTTGAAGCTGCAAGTGTTTCAGTTTCACTAAACTCTCTTAAAAAACTTCAATATCTTTTGTTTATATTTGAATAACAGTTAGAAACTAGTGTCTAAGAGGGTTTACAAGCCCTGAATATCTTAGCTCTTATATCTAAATATAATATCTATGTTAGCTATTATTATCTCTAAAACCTATCAACAGGAAACAGGTTTCAAAATATGACAGGAAACCCTGAAAAAGGGAATGGGGGGGATGGATTCACCCCCATCTTCTGGGCCAGCCTGTGGAATTGCAATAATAAAAGACTCCTAGAAAGGACACCTCCCACGTGAAGTTTTGTCCTTGCTTTTGGAAAATGGTGGACATCTGAAGTTCTCCCTGCAGCATGGTATTTTTTTTTCTTTCACTTAGGTGTGTCTTTAGTTTAGAAGCAAACAAAAACCAATGGCTTATTTCTTATCTGAAAAAATGTTTTATCAAAACATATATGAAACCTCTCACGGTGTGATACTCAGCCCTGCTTGTTCCTTTCTGCTCTATTAAACATTTAATTCAATTGTTTCTCCTACTAGAAGAAATCAAGTTAGTAAAGAATGAAGTGTTACAGAGATCACTCACCTATGGAGTAACTAGGCTAAATTTAGATCATACTCCCTATTTTATGAGTAAAATAAGTAAACTTTAGTTTCATGGTTTAGATATGTTTGTGCTTCTAGTTAAAAGCACCTTGTCACTTCTGCAGAAACAGACACAACTTTACTGGTTATTGGAAATAATATTTACTTCCATCTACTTTAAATCTGCTTTGTACATTCAAACATTCTGGATTTCCAAAGAACCAGAAGAGAGTTCAGAGAGCGAGACTTCACTAACCACTACCCATAAGCCATGGCTCATGGATGAGGGGTTGCAGGATTTAGGTCTTTGGATGATTCTCATGCTGTATCTCGGACTGCTCTGCAGCATTTCTGGTCTATATTGCTTTCCTGCATAGACAGGAACAACTTTTTCTTTTTTTGCATTTCTAAATTTTGGACTTTTACTATTTCAAGAGCTGTCAGCCTGGCTGGTGTGCTATTTAAGTTTTGTATTGAACATTGGAAGATGATCCTAACATATGCAACCTCTACTTGCCAAAATTATTTAACATTTTCAGGGAAAATTAATTTGGGCAGGGTGAAAAAAATTGTGAGGCAATTCAGGTTTTCTACTGATGTTATTAGAGGATAAACATAGACAAATATACCTACGTATGGACACACAGAGAGGTTTTTTATGCTTCTTTACATGACAGGTAAAAATTTGATCTACTTCAGTATTGGTCAAGGAGCACATGAAGACCATTTGGATGAATTAATACAAAAATCAATCGGAATTGCTACAGATCAGTCTACCCCACTTACAATGACCCTAGTAGGAGACAAATGCAAGAAGCCTTGGTCTGTTGAATGTAAATCACTATCACAGAAAAAAATTTGAGTATGAGGTTCTGTAAGTGAAACAGAAGCCTGGACTGTAATTCTCAGTGGTGCTGCTCTGCCCTCTGCAGACTGGATTGTATAATCACATACTAACCCGATCGCTTACTTTGAAAGCACATCTCACTCAACAGAAAAAGAAGTCATCAAAGCAAACGATGCACACATGTGACACTGCAAGTCCTAAATAAGTCAGGAGTATTCCTGAGGCAGCACCTGGTTTCTGAGTATCCTCACCATGTCCACACTGCCAGTTAAGGTGGGGAAATTATTGCCTGAATAGCACTGATGCCTAGAATGTGAATTCAGAATGAGGTACAGGACATATTCATGTGTGTTACTCTAATATAAGTCACATGACATTTCTGGATGGTGGAGAAACTAGTTCCAACTCCCATATGCAGAGCTACTCCTCCCTCATACTAAGAACATTTTTCTACAGTTTTTCTACAGGGCATGTGGGCCACAGCAAATGCTTAACTGATACACCAGGCAATCAGCATCCCACTCTGCAAGTTGTTTAGCTACATGCCACACTGCACAGCACCTGCCTCCACCTTTTATCCTCGGTAAACATCCAAGAAATGAGGCAAATGAATCCAACTTTATGAGCTCTCTATAATTTCATGTGCTGTCCTCATGTGTTCTAGCATGTTAGCTGGTAAAGAATTTTAAAGCTTATTTAATTCTCCTCTATTTGCTGCATCCCCACTGATGTGAGAAAACACACAACACAACTTATTGCTTCTTATAAGCTGGACAGTGCTTTTGAACTAAGGACATGTCATAACCCTTCTGACAGAAAACACCATTTTTATAAGGCTTCTCTTTGATAGGAACAGTACAATAGAATTCACACAACACACAATTCAGATTTGTTCCAACTTTTTGTTTTATTAAGTGCTGACATTTAAAAAACTTTCTCAAAGCATACATGCCAAACCCTAGGCATCAGATGTGGCCCTCACAAACGATCAGCACCTGATGTTCCTTTACTCCACCTGCCTGCAGTTATCAGGTGTCAGACCACAGACAGAACACCAGGTCTTCTGAAAAAAGAGCCTGACAGGAAGAAAAATTTGCATACGCAGCTCCCAGCATAGCACTTCTTATATTGTGTGACTACTACATGTGCTGGTTACATGACCCAAAGACTCACATGTCAGGAAACAAGAGAAGTGGCAGTCTTTCAGCAAGTGGCAGCATTTGCAGAATATCTTCAGTACAAAACCAAAATAGGTATTAATTTTTTTTTTTTTTCCTCAGAGCAGAGCTTGCAATATGTAGTGTTATTATGCTTCTCTAAGTTAACTTTAATGGCAGGTCGATTCTTAATAATGACTCTTCTGAACTATTTTCACCTTCCATAATTTGCAGGTAAAACAAGTGAAAGGTAAGTCAGAGCAGCATATAAAAAATTGATGGAATTTTGTCATCCTTCATTACTTTTGTTTCTTTGATGGATCTGCTGCAGATTAATGGGACAGGCTAGAAAATTTTCAAGTATATCAGTAATCAAACTAAAAATCTTTAATTTTCACCTTGCCCATGTCACAAATGGAAATGGTATTACTATTCCAAAGCAAAAAATTGGAGGAAAACAGTGGTCATGTTTATACTTAGCAACACTCCAGTACTCCATTTGACAACAGCTGAATTGCATTCTTAAAAAAGAAATTTTTACATATTCTTAAACAGAATTCTCTACATAATCCCTGCTATCTAATGTAACTGACACAGAAATGTCACTTGGGGTCTGGGCTATATCTTGAAAACCTTGTACAATCTGACAATACCTTCATCAAATGAACATTCAAGCTCTAGTTTTATCTTTCTTTACATTCCTTTTAATCCAAGGACTTGGGAGTGGTTTGTGACATGTAACTGAAGAAAGCAAAGGAAAGGAAATCCACTCTTAATACTGCTTCTTCTTCCAACAAAATAACTGTATCTTACGTCATAGCAAATATTCTCAAATCTAGAAATATGATTAAATTCTGAAAACCTGTACCAGAAACACTATTTCTATACCTGTTTACCATTTCCCTTGGACAAAAAGCTGTAATATCCCACCACTCTGACCAAGGCCAGAACAAGTTAACTACCCTTGAATAAACCTGATTATTTCAGGGGAATGTTCAGGGTACAGGAGACATGGTCTCTTTCCAAGTCACATAAGACTCAGTCTCATGAACTGAGATGGGAATTAGGATTTTCCCCATTTCCTGCTCACAGGCTGCAAGCCCAGCTTGTTTCTACATTGCAGCACAAGTTGCAGTACCATTCTAGCCAAAAGACACCCTGTGGAACTACTTGGTCATGAGTTCCAAATAGCCTTGGAACAGAAAAGCCAAGGCAACTCAGCACTTTTTGAAATGTATTCTTCAAGAAGAATGGAAAGCAGATTTCTTCTTCCCCAGAGCTTGTTACTGACTGCTGAGTTCTTCTCTTATTCTGAGCACTGAAGCTCTCAAGGCATGAAAGTCACTTGACACCTGAAGAACACCCAGGAGCAGTCACTACTGGTCTGGGTACAGCCCAGACCAGGGCTACATCTTCACAAAGGACAGAAAGGCAAGCAGAGATCTTCTAGGAGCATTAGTCAACTGGTCTCTGGTCCTGAACCTGCAGTTTTGGACTCTAGTAGTTGAAACTTCAGCCTGAAATACTAAATTCACTAGAAACAATAGATGACCCTAAATATGTCTGTACCATGGTGCCAAGTAGTACCTCTCCAAAGCCAACTCACCTCTGACTCTACGGCCAGGCTGCATGGGCATTGGAGGCTGCAGCCTGGAGCACTGAAGAAGCACTGCCAGACTTCCCAGGCACACTGCTGGGTCTCTGCAGGTTCTGAAAGAAGCACTCACAGAAGGACAAGGTAAGCAGGGTGCAGAGTGCATGATGCCTCTGATCGCTACTGAGATCTGCTCTTTCAGAGGGCGACAGACACAGGAATCACCTCTTTAAGAGTGCACAATTGTTTTGGAAAATCTCAGAAACGGAACAAATGTACAGATTAGAACCATGAGCAAAACTTCAGAGAAAGGGAAATGGCTCTGTATAGCTAGAATTGCCCAAAGTAAGTAATACTGAATTTATTTGTACAGATACACATACTGCACAGCAAAAACACTGACAGAGTTCCCATATTGTGACACGTTTCAGTGTAGTAAATGACAGGACTGGTTATTCTTTCCTCCCTATACCCCTGCATAAATCTCAAATCTATCTTCTATCTTCTCAAATCTAAGATATCCAAAAAATATCTTCTATGTTATTTATACATAATGAAAAGAAAAAGCTCATAAACTGTAGTGACACTGACTGTAAGCAAGACAATTCACCAAGTAAAATGTTACTGAGGGAAGGAAGTGTGTGGAAACAGGACAGTTACACTTTCTGAATGTGAATTTTTTTAAAGAGAAGCTGAAGTGAAAGCTAAGTGAAACTGAAAAAAAAAATAATTTTGAATATGAGTGAGAATATATATATTTTCTCACACTTAAAAGCCTGAGCCTTTTTCCCTTGAAAATATTAACAAAAGAGTAATATACTCTTCAGAATCTCTTTAAAATTGCATTATTTAATAATTGCACAATAACTTGTTCATCTCTTGTGCAGTGAGGGCTGAAGAGAATTTAAAGAAATTCATTGTGGTAGAAATCCTTAGTCAGCAGAAAGTGCTCTGAAGAAAGCAGTAGGAACTGGAAGAAAATTTTAAACACCTGCAGTTTTGGCTGCTTTTGGGTAAAAGGAAGTAAAGTTTTGGTAGTAAATTTAAAAGTAAAGGGTGTGGTGAAACCTTTAAGATGAGAGCTGATCCAATAGTAATTTTTTAAGAGATAAAAAACCATTTGCTCATTAGCAACTATGAACAAAGCAGATTTCTGTGGGTGGTTTCTTCCTTCACCAAATATCAATCAGTGTAAAACCACCACAGCAGGATTAACTTCTGTGCAGAAATTCATATGCCACTGTGTCATGGTTGTTTCCCAACCCATCATTTTGAGTCCAAAATTCTGCAGGCATGGGAAACAAGGCTCTTATTACATGAGGAACAGTCTCAAGGTGCTTTGCCCATGCCCAAGTCTGTTATTTCTTTTTTTCTTTAACACTGCTGAGTGTGAACTTTAACCTCATTTAGCTTCCAAAAAGCCTCAAAGTTGGCCATTTCTCCAAATAATCCAACTGTCCACACTGCTTGCAGACAGTTAAATAAAAGGAAAAAAAAAAAATTTTCAGGTTGAAAACTGGGTGTTTTAATCTATTTCTAGATCTAAGTATTCAATTTTCCATCTGTTCTCGGAAAACTGGGTAGGAAACAAATTGATTTTAAGAGCTATTTACACACAAGTAGGTATCCCACACAAGAAGACTTCATTCTCCATGTTTACCACAAACCCACCGAAGCTGCTGCTCTGTTTGGAGGTCAGTTAATTCATCAATGGATCTCCAGCTGCACTGACAAGCATATGCACGTGCTCCTTTCTTCTTTATCATCTTTGCTCTTAGTTTACTGAGCTCAGGCATGTTATTCCTGCCAAAGAAGTGAATTCATCTTAGGATCGTGCTGGGTTGTTTTGTTTTTTTTTTTTAAAGAAAAAATATTCATTAGACCATTTCAAATCAGAAAACATTTTAAGGACAATTCTGAGTAACATTGTCATGGATGAATTTAGGGATATATTTGAATTCTGTTTTGAACACAATCCTTTCCCGAGAGCAGTCTCAGTGTAGTTTCTGTGTTCTCAGATCAACTACGGACTGATGTTTTTGTAAACAATGTTATCTGTTAGGTTTTTAGAGACTTCCAGTCAGCCTCCAGAGAAAGAATTGGGAAGAAAACCAAGCAGAGCTAATTCCTGTGTTAAAAAATTGCCCAAAAATGTATTTATCTTACCAAATCTACTGCAAAAATTGCTATGCGTTATGGATACAATTACAGAATTAAACTTTTCATCAGTAACTACTACTCAAGGTGATTGTTAAAGTGACTGAAATGAAATGGCCATAAGAGGGTAGATTGTACATCAAACCAGAAATAATTCCTGTGCAGCCATTAACCATAACAAATGAAAAATCAGCATGCTATGACAAAAAGAAGTAATTAAAAAAAAAAAGTGAAAATATAGCATTTTATCTATCTCTGCTCTCATGACCTCCTCCTGGCCACTGTATACTGAATTGCTCAAAAGCAACATTAACAAGCCAAATTAAATAAAAAAAACCCAAAACAAGTATTAAGAGAAGGATTTTTAGACAAAGAGATCAGACATCTATTGATGGAAGGAAAATGTTTAACCTTAATGTTTGCTTTCTAAAATTCAGGCTTGTCAAAATAAACAGCTAAATATCTTGCTAAAGATTACAAATTTTAATCAATGTTACAAGTATCTGATACTAATGCCGCTCATATGTTTTTTTTTTTCTTTCATTTCATTTATTAATTTCAAGACCTGAGAAGCAAAATAATTTTGAGTTTGGGTAAATAAAAGAATCCCACTTTGTTTAAACCTTTTCTACTACCAAACAAATCTTAGTACTTTAAAGCCACTTTAAATAATGGGAAAAATAATAAGAAATAAGAAATACGGATTTTGAGACTGGAAGAAAAATACAGGAATAAAAATGTAACACAGGAAAAAGAATGGAAAAGGAACCAGTATGTCCATTAATGTTCTTTTCTGACTGTTACATTACTGTCCAAGCACATACTCTGAACACATCCACCTCTTCCATCAGTTAATGGGCACACACAGAGACTTTACTAAAATAAGAGGAATCCAAATTTGATGTCTATTATTAATACTACACTACCTTTCACTAAGTCTTGGCATTAGCTTTAGAGAACCTGGAAATATGAACTCCTTACTTTTAAGTCTTCAAAAACTATTTAAAGAATTAAAAACATCACAATATAAGCAAAAAACAAAAATTCCACCTCTCCATTTAAACAAACCTTGCTCCAAGAAAGAAATCTGTTAAGAAATAAAGCTATTTGGTTTTCACTGAACGTGACAGCACACCTAATAGTGCAAAAAGAACATGTGACTTGAAACCATCACAGGCTGTATGACTGAAAGTGAGGTGCAAAGCACATGCTGAATAGTCTACAGTCACACTGTTGAAATTATAGATGCCCTGCACTGGTTGGCAGAGTCCAACCCATCACATAGATTACCTGCTTATTTCAGCAATAAACTGGCCTTCTGATCCATTAAACTTGAATTATTTTTAAAAGCAGAGGGAGAGTCATGGGAGAAGAGACAGAAACGGATGAAAACAGATTTTGGGTGATGTTGCTTCCCCCTCCCCACAGACTGTCCCACCTGATCCCAAACAGGTTGCATGCATGCTTTTTTTTAAGTGACACAGCAGTGCTAAGGGCTTTTCGTCTCTCCTATTCTTATTGAGTCCCAAAGCACAGTAGCACAACACTAATACCCACCCCAGACACACCTGAAAAAGAGATAATCACAGGACTGATCCCAGATGTAGTCATTGAAAAGTGACACACGGAAGTCACAAGCAGTACAACGTAGCTGATCACACGTTCTGGACAAAGAAGAACAATCAGAGAAGCTGACTGTTAAAATATTCATCCATCATATATGGGTCAAAGTACAGCACTCACTCAGAAATACTAAAAGCAACGTCACCTAATCTAAATGCTTTTACATCTCTGGCCTGTTCACAGTTATGGTATGTGATTTAATTATAAGTTCACGTATTATTTTTACAGGTTCCTATCCTCACTGAATACATAAAATAAACTGATATTCACTTGATATATTCTCTTTAGTATTCCTTACTGGTATGGCACCGTGTATCGAGTACACAATTACTACAAAAATGCCACATGGAAATGCAGTAATGTTCTATAGGACGTTGTGGATAAATCATCAGAGTACCTTTTCTGCTAAATTCAGCTGCAATTGCAAAGCACTCTGACCATTTTCAGTTCAGGTTCTGGCATGATTTCAACCAGCCCACTGATTTAAGTCACATACTTGACATCACATAGAAAGAGGAAGAGAGGCAGGGAAAAATAATAATGGAGCAGCAATTTCTTTAACTACTTGTTACTGATTTTTGGTTTCATGTCTCATTTGCAAGCATCTTTCTATACCTCAAACAAACAAAAGCTCAGTGATCAACAACAGAGGACTGAAAGGGACCAGCTGATTTCAACTGCAGTTACAGACAGCCACTTCTTTAGATGATTGTAAAGCTGTCCTGCCCAGCTCAGAATTTTGTACCACCACAGAAACACAGCTGTGAATAAAAAAAATGATAAAGCAAGTAGCACATATTTTTTCAGGTTTCCTACCTTTTTGAAATATTTGTTCCTATCCCAGATGGTGAAAGGCTTCCACCAAGGTACACTGGACAGCATCTATGTGGATTCATTAAAAAAATACTAAATTATAGCAAAACAGATTGGAGAAAGCAGTACAACATTTATCCTAGTTTAACAGCATGGTATTTACAAAAAATATTTTTTAAATATAGGCCAAGCATCCAAATACTTGTAAACTACAGAATTTTAAAATTTCCATTTTCAAAGTGTTCAAAGAAAACCTACAAAAATCACTCTCTATGCCAAATATACAAGGGTCTACATATTGTAACATCTGACAAATGTATATGTCCATAAGACAAAGGAAGATGTTGTTCAATAGCTCAAATAATTAATAAAGTTATAATAAATTATTTTGACCACATGAAAACACATTAGCCTGTCTTTGAAATTATCTGCTTATCTTTGTTTTTCTTTAAAAAGTTTTTCTCAGTGTCTTTCTTAAGAAATGTCAACACAGATTAAACAGCAGCAGTATTATTAGACTGATAAGAAGTAAAAATCAAGCAATGTCCAACAAGCCCGAACATTTTTCACCTACTTTTTCCCATGTGCCTGTACAATAACACTGTTTCTTTCAGGTGTGAGACTTGCAGAATTACACTTCAATTTCTGTTTAAAAACAACCAAAGAATAAAATGCAGCATTACAGCAAAGTCACAATATTCTGTTTTACTTAATAATCAGGAGCCAGAAAATCTCAGTCACAGAAGAAGGGGACTAAGACTTTGGGAATTTTCTTGTTCAAGTTTGTGAGGCTCTGAAGTAACAGGCAAGCAAGGAACAAGGCTTCTCTTCCCACACTGAATTTCCAGCTCTGGCTGAAGGAATTCCACACCACATGATCACTTAGACTTTACAATCAAAACTTAGTATTTTATGCCCTCCTTTTAATAATTTTGCATTTAAAACCAGTTATAATTTGGAACCCTCTCCATCGATGTTTTTTAGCTTTTGTTTCATTAAAACCCATCAAGAACTTCTATTTTTCAAAAAGATAGAGTCTTTGAAAGGTTTCTTATTTGCTGCACATAGATGAGTTTATTTGAATTCTAGAATATGTGAACCCTAGATCCTAAATGGGAAGTTCTATGGATATAAAATGATAAAATTATACAAATTTACTGGCATAATTCTCTCTCCCTCAGATGTATAGAAGTATTTTTGTTGGTTCAGATTTAGCCACTCTGTAAAAAATCAAACTAAACAAAAACAATGTCACTTGTGAAAATAAGGGAATCTGCAGGAGGTTATGAAGTGTAAAGGGTAAAACACCATTTTCTACTGCTGATACCCAAATGAATATGAGTATCTATTTTCAATGCCTTCCATCACTGTAACTGTTTTGAGAATGCAAAATTGTGGCTTCATTCCCATCTCCTGCAGTGAAATGAGAGGACATTTGCAGAGGATACAAAACGGGAAGCAGTGGTTGGTGTATCAGATGACTGAGCTGCCATTAAGAGGGACCTCAAATGACTTCCAGAAATGGGGTGAGAAGAATCTCTTCAAGTTCAGCTAAGGTGAAATGCAAACTCCTGCTCCAGGGGAGAAATAATCCCTTTGCACAGAACACTATGTGGACTGACCAGCCAGAAAGCAGCATTGCAGAGAAGGCTGTGGGTAATTCAGTCGGTAACAAGTTGACCATGAGCCAGCAATGTGCCCTTGCAGCACAGAGGGCCAACAGTATCTTGGGACACGTAAGGAGGGATGGTGCCAGCATGTCCAGGGAGCTGATCCCTCCTCTGCTCAGCACTGATGACAGAATCAAAGAATCATTCCAGCTGGAAGAGACCTTCCCCTGCCCAAAACAGGGTCAGTTTCAGCAGCTTGCCAAAGACTGTGTCCAGCTGCATTCTGAAAATCTCCACAGACCGAGACTCCACAACTTCTCTCTGAAGACTGTCCCTGTATTTGAGCACCCTCACAGTAAGAAAAGTGTTTTCTTGTGTACAGATGTTATTTTGTGTGTTTCAGTGTATGCCCATTGCCTCTTGCCCTGTCACTGGGCACTATGGAGAAAGTCTGGTTCTTTACTACACCCATAACTATTTACACACATTGATAAGATCCCTGCCAAGAGCCTTCTCTTCTCCAGACTGAGCAACTCTCTCAGCTGCTCCTCACATTACAGGCATTTCAGTCTCTTAACCATCTCCATGGACCTTTGCTGGAGGTTCTCCAGTAGCTCCATCTCTCTCTTATATTTGAGAGACCAGAACAGGTCACATTACTCCAGATACAACCTTACAGACATGCCAGGAACACTGTGTCAAGTAAAAAAGAGGCATGGACATAATGGAGTGGGCTCACAAAAGGACCATGAAGGTCATTAAGGATTCAGACCATCTGACATCCAAGTATAAGCTAAGAGAGTTGGAATTGTTTAGCCTGGAGAAAACAATGGTCAGGAGAACCTTATGAAGGTATGTCAGGAAAAAATAAAGAAGATGTAGCCAGACTTTTCTCAGCGGGGATCACTGACAGGACAGGCAATGGGTGCAAACTAAAGTACAAGAATTTCCATTCAAACATACAAAAATTCTTTATGACTTGTGAGGGTGGTCAAACACTGGAGCAAGCCACTTAGAGAGGCTGCAGTCTACATCCTCAGGGATAACTGAAAGCCATTTGGACACAGTCCTGGGCAAGTGGCTCTAGGCAGTCCTGCTTAAGCAGGTGGTTGGACCAGATGATCTTCAGAGTTCCCTCTTCCAACTGCAACCATTCTGTGATTCTGAGCATTGACACTATGCTCTATTTTGAACTTGCATTTCCTTTAATTGCCTGTTATTGCCCCGGTAAGAACATCTCTTTATATCTCTCCTGTTCCTCACTACAGCATTACTGCATTTTCCTTTCTGCTTTATTTTCCAAGTTTATTCTACAGCTTGTTTTCATTCATGTTTTGCTTTAAAAGTTTTAGCTTATGGTGCTTTTACTTCCGCTGCTGAACCTGACTTGTTCTGAATTTCTCCAAACCCCTACTCACCAGAGGTGTTTTGGTAAAGCTGCTGTCATTACAGATTTCATCAATAATGTCGTCTAGATCTTCTTCGCTGCTGTCAGCACTCACTGACACTTTAGCTGATCTGAAAAATAAATATATCAGCCTTCATTTTTGTAGCAAGACTACAAAACTTTTTTTACTGTGAGTTAAAAAATATAAATAGTTACAGCCTTTTTCCCCTAATATTTTTGTAATATCTCAGGTAGGCCATCCAAATCATGACTGAACAGATGTAAACCGTAGGATAACACCTTTAAGTCTCTGTTGAGTTGTCCCATCATAAATTTTGTTTTTGCTTGCTTCTTTTATTTACAACTACTCCCAGCCATGAATAAAACTATGATAGTATAACCCCTGCTACACTTACTGAGAAATTAATTGGACAACCCTGATTTTTCACATTTAGCTTCAGCAGAAGGAATATCAGTCATATGTCAAAGGTCAGAGGAAGGTCTCTACTCAAGCTACATAACTGCAGGGGTCCTGAAGAGAATTCCTGCTGAACTGGATGCATTTAGAAATATCACCTGCACTTTGCTTTTGCTCAAGTAACACTCAAGTCTGCTGTTTGCTAGCTCTTTGTCAAAGAAAGAGAGGCCTCTAGTACTGCTGCATTAACTAATCAAAAACAAATCTACTCCTGAAAAAGAAGAAAACTCTGTAATTTTTCTTTCAAGATGGTAATTAGATCAACTAAAATTAAGTGCTCATCTAACCGTTATGCAAACAATGTGGAAGTCTGGTAATGTGGTCAAAGGTAGTGGTCTTTCTGATCTTGCATTAGTCATTGGATTCTTCAAGATCCTTTCCTGAGACTCTGAAATGTGTGTAGGGTAAGCGCTTATCAGCCCACCCATGGAGATATCTGGCCAAGCCTCTCTGGTCCACAGACCTTCCAAAGGGAGTCTGAGATGCCTGTGAGGACTGGGATGTAAACCTCAGGGCCAGGATGGAAACCTGATGTCTGGGATGGAAGCCTGAGGGCAGGGTGAGATGTCAGACACCAAATGCTTGGCAGGAATGAATCTGTCAGCATCAAACTTGCAAAGTCACCATTTTGAAAACTGTGGAATTTGAGGCAGATACCTCAAAGCACAGCATGTAAGTTAAGTGCTTACTGTAGTGCATACGGTTAATAAAGTATGAACGAAAAATTATGAACAGAAAAAACAGACCCGAGGGAACAGCATGAAGCTGTGTCAGGGGGGGTTTAGGTTGGATATCGGGAAAAGGTTCTTCACCCAGAGGGAGGCTGGGCACTGGAACAGGCTCCCGAGGGAAGCAGTCACAGCACTAAGCCCGCCAGAGCTCAAGAAGTGCTTTGACAATGCTCTCAAGCACATGTGGTGACTCTTGGGGTGTCCTGGGCAGGGCCAGGAGTTGGACTGCGATGATCCTTTTGGGTCCCTTCCAACTCAGAATATTCTGTGATTTCAATGAAATGACTGAATTATCAAGAGAATAAAAACTTTGATAATGCTATTGCTAAAGTTCGTCCTGCTCTAAATCGCGAGATTTATAGATATTTGAGGCCAATTAGATACTGAGGGCTGTCATGAGATCAGTTATAGAGCCAAGTAATCCCCAACCCTAACTGAGAGGCAAATTAGTGCAGCTTTTAACGCCATATTTAATCCAAGGCTGCGGTAGACGCAGGAGACAAAGGATGTCTGAAGTAACTAAACTCGCTGGCACACCATTTGAGTCTTTAAGAAAGACGGGCTGCAGGTGACACTCGCCGACTGTCGGCCCGGTTCCGGCTCCTGAACCCGCGGATTTTGGGTTCCCGAGAGGTCTGGCCGCACGGGGCAGGCAGGGACGGGCTGCGCGCCATCCAGGCGGCGCCTGGCTCGGCGGGGAGGGCTGTGAGGGCGGCGGGACCGCGGCGGGACCGCTAACCTGCCCTCCTTGGCCGCCGCGGGCTGCTCCTCGCCGCCGCCGGGCCGGTGCCACAGCCGCCTCTCCACCTCGTCCAGCAGTCGATCCAGCTCGTCCGCCATCTTGCCGCCCCGCGGTTGCCAAGGCGGCGCCGGCAGGGGCGGGCTCTGCCCGCCCTCCCGGCCGGGCCGGGAGCGGTGTGGGGCTCCTGCGGGGCTCGGGCCGCAGCCGCGCCCCCTCCGCGCCGCTCCCGGGATTCGGCAGTGAACTACGGGGAGGGGGAGGGGAAGAAAAAAAGAAAATAGGAAGCCACATGACGGCGGCCGTAGTCGGCAGGATTCGAACCTGCGCGGGGAGACCCCAATGGATTTCTAGTCCATCGCCTTAACCACTCGGCCACGACTACGCATGCTGAGCAGCCCTTCCTACTTCATCATCACTGACTACCCGAGAGAGGGCATGGTCCGGCACTTAGGTTCGTCTCTTCACCGGGAGCAGTGAAAGGTTTAAAATAGAGGTTAGACTTAATGCGTCTGTCATACAGTTCCCTGGGCTGGATATTGGTCTGTTTAGAGCAAAACCAAACGGTTAGGCTTTGCTAAGTCCCACGGGACAAGCCTGGTTTTGTGTGTTTGTGCTTTTTTTTGTTTTTTTTTCTTTTGTGTTATTTTTGTTTGTTTGTTTGTTTGTTTGTTTGTTTGTTTTTGGCGTAGGTTAGGAACAGTTGTTGCCTGTAAGTGGCCTCAGTCCCCTTAAACCCAGGAGCACTCCCCAGCTGGCATCCCCCATAGCGCCCGGGAAGTCGGGGCGGGCATTTTTGAGGGAAGTCCCATAAAAGTGGCTCTTGCCTATCACCCTGTTGATAAATCCAGACAAATGTAGGAGTGTCAGTCACTAGTCTTCCAATGCCAGCTTCCTCTCCCCCCTCATCAGAGACACACGAGAGGTGAGATGTCCCAATGTGGGTACTCTGCCCATAGTGTCAGTAAATGCTATATATTATTATATTTTTTTTGAAATATAATGAAGGACTTTAGAGAGAGAGGTTCTCTTAAGCTAAACAGAACATGCCATCTCCTTAGGTCAGCTGAGATGTAAAGCACAGTCCTTGTACCCTCCTGTTGCCAAGATGGCTCAAAATTCATGTGATGAAGTTGGGTCTGCTGTCCTTAAGAGCTCCAAGCAAAGCCACTTGGTAACAAGGTATTTTACAAATCTCTGCATATTTCAATTAATGAGTTGCAAGCCCTGTCTGAATTCCCTTGTACTTAAGCTTTTATTTCATTGTTCCATTTTCCTCTCCACATCTCTCATGTCATGTTTAATACCCTGGCCTGATCCATGGCAATGCTGCCGGGGGAGATGTGTTGGGTAGAAGAGTTGTGAGCCTTTGCTGGGTTGATGTGATGGAAGAAACTAAATAGTGTTGATGCTGCTCCAGCTCTTTTAAGTGGTCCCTTGGCCAGGACTCTGTGTCATGTAGGTAAATTCAATCCAGAAGAAGCGGATTTTTGGGTGGAATTTTTGCATTCATCTCTTGCAGCTGTGGAGAGTTTAAACTAATCACAATTCTCCCCAGTATGCTATCATCTCTGTAATTTGAAAAAGGATCAGGAGCCCACAGGCTTGGAAAATCTTGAAGAAACTCTTGTCCTGAAATACATCATCACATGTGGAAAAGACCACTTGCTGCATCATCTTAAAGGAGCTTAAGAATGCCGAAATCCAGTATCATTCTGGCATTCTTTCAAATGGCCTTGGAAATCTGAGTACATTCTCTTTTGACTGCAAAACAGCTTCTTTCCCTTTCCATCAATCCTGTGGCTGTCAGTGTGTCTGTTGCAAGGTGCCAAAAATGTATGGAGTGTCTATGGGATAACGGTGCCAAAGTCAGGGGTGCCTCGAGGCCTTCTCCCATGAACTCGTTGCAGCATTTGCTCAGTTGGAAAGCATTTGAAACCAAAAAGAAAAAAAAAAAAAAAAAAAAAAAAAAAAAAAAAAAAAAAAGAAAAAGAAGAAAGGCACAGACCTTTAAAAATTTTTGAACTGAAAAGATTGGCTTTGTGCAGATTGCTGCCTGCTGTTTAGATCCTTGTTGTTCAAAACTTCTGAAAGGCCTGATGCAATCAAAAAGACTTACTGGGTCAAATTGGTTCCAGACTAGTCCCTGGAATCACACTGAGGTGAATCTGACATACTGGGCCTTCAGCTAAGTTGTGGCCAGGAGAAAGGAGTTGAGGTCATGCTCTGAATTTGGCCTCTCAGTAAATCAGTGAAGTGGCTTGTCCAAATCATGTCTCCTACTGACTGCTTGAGTGCAAGTGGAAAGGTTACTGATTGCTGAGGGCTGGAAAAGTACAGAATGACCACTTTGATGATGATGGCTCCTTTTTTTTTTTTCCTTTTAATATACTGATATATAAGGATATCAATATATCCTTAGGAAGAGAGGACAGAAATCTGGAAGGCTGTCCTGGGCACAAGCCACAATGTTCTCTAATCCTCAAGGTACTGAAAGCTTTCTCAGTGGTGCTGTTAAACTGGATTTTGCCACAACAGTGATGAAGACAAAAAAAACTTTCTAGGGCAGGATGTTAATTTCCCTCTTCTGTTTTCTCTGGGAACCAAATTGAGCCTAAATTGAGGTTGACCAGAACTCTTCTCAGTCCTCTTCTCTTAACAATGAACTCTACGGGGCACTGGTAATGGTAAGAGGTTAGCAGAGCCAGGTAACACCAAAGTCATTTCCACATGCTACCCATTGCCAGACAAGAGGGAAATGATTGCAGGGAGGCACTCGTTTTGATACAGTGATTACATGCTGCAAACCTTTCTGCCTTGCAGTCTCTTGCCCCCGAAGTTGGGATGGAGGGAATGCAGTGACTGCCTCTCTCCAAGGAACTGCCACCTACAGCATATGTAGAACTGTACAATTCCTTGCTCCCAGTTACAGGATATTACTCTAACCCTGTTCCTAATCACAATCCAGTATAACATCATTTTAAGTGACACCGCTTATTTCTTATTAGTAGTACAGTGCATCAACATGAGAAAATTCAGATTCTAAATCTAGATTTTTTTTGCCATAATTTTAATCACTAGCAAACATTTCTGTGAATGAAATTTTTCTACTGAAGATACCAGATTGGGAGACAACTTCTTGAAAGACCTCTTGGCAGCAAAACTAACAGTGTGTGCAAGATTCCTCATATAACACTGGTTTGTGATATTGAGCGACAACAAAGGACAGTTTAAGCTGGATTCTATCCCAGACTTGGACTTCACTGTCAATCCTTCCATCAGAGGTGCCAGCTCAGAGGGTGGATTCTTAGTTCAGTTTGCTGGCACAGCTGCCTTACCATGAGGGGCATGAGGACTGGAACAACTTCCAGTTACTTCCAGCCTTCCTCTCAATTAATAATTTCAAGGTTAGGGTATGTGAGCAGCCACCACCTGCTGTGTTGCCTGGGCTACACAGTTCTCTTGTAAAGAAAACTGTTCCTGAGAACAAGTGTCCAAATTGACAATCTTAGTCCTTGCTGTGAGGGGTAAACTTACTTTTGGATGTTTGTAAACATACATGCTCATTTTCAAGTGAGTATGACATGGGGCTTACAAAGAGAAGCAGAAGATATTTCAGGACAGTATACAAAAAAAAAAAAAATATGCTTGTCTGGGGGCCTTTTAATGAACATGGCATAATCCTCAAAGCTTCTTAAAACCATGACATTTCAATCTCCATGAGGGCATAACAAACATTGGAAAGTAGTTTCTGGGAAAAAAAACTGTCAGCTTGTAAGGCTGTATAGCAAGGAGGTAACACTTCCAAATCAATGATAATTATGTGTAACTTCGAATAAAAATGGTGCTGCCAGGCACTGTGCAGCTTTACTGCACCTGCATTCTTTGGCACCAAGGGTGTCAGTCCCTGTAAAGTGGAGCAGAGGGAGGCACGTGGTGATGAAACAAGTCAGTGCAGAGAACATATCATAAGGTAAAAATGTTTCCATTTAACAGATAGAAATAATAAGTAGTAAATACAAGATAATTGGCCTGCCAGGAAGGACCTAGGCTGTGAGAATGTGAGTAGGAAGGAGAAAGCATCCTGCATAGAGGACTGGGGACTACTGTGGAAAAATCCTTCCTGCTTGCTGCCCATTGCACAGCTGTGCTGAGAGACAAACACCATGTAAAACCAGTCTAGCTGAGGGAGCTGAAACCAAAGCAGAGATGGTGTTCCATCACCCTTGCCAAGGCTGGAAAATATTTTTCAGGGGTGATTCTCCAGAACAGTTGTGACCTAGGAAAAACTATCCTGTAAGCCACAGGGGCATGGTGTGAGTGTGCATGTGGGAGTGAAGGTACTGTTTGTGTGAACTCCACGCTAATATCCTTGGTGGGGCTGATTCAGATTTTTCTTCCTGAGGCCTCAGGATACTGCATCTCAGAGGGAGACAGATGTGGTAGCTGACAGGGCTGGTGTTGTCACACACCGGGTTCCAGATACACTCTTTTGTTTCACTGCATAGCAGTGCACTTTGTTTCACTGCACAGCTTCCTTTTCTCAGTACAAGAATCCTGATCAGTGAAAATATGTTAGGCAGAATCACACCTGTGTAATGTGAATGCCCTTTGCATGTGTGATTTTGAAGGTTTTTACAGTTGAAAGACTTAAAAGAATGGCAAGAAGAACAAGTCTTTTTCAGATGAAAGCTTCTTCATAAAACCTCCTTCTAGAAGCTCAAATGCAAAAAAAGAGATCTTCATATCTGTGAGTTATAAGGTTTTCATTTGGGCTTGAAATGAACAGGTTTTTTCCTAGTGCAGTTTTCAAAAGGAAGAATGTTTAAGGGTGAAGTGAAAATGAGAAGCTAGGACCTCACTGATTTGAGCAGGGTCAGGATTTCATACAGAAAGTGAAAATCCAGTCCATCTCATTGCAAGTATCTGTTCCTTGCTGGAGGACGAGGAACTGGTAGCTCTTCTTCCAGCTTCTGTGTCTCCCAGCAGAGGGCATTGCAGAATGACATTACCATTTTCCAGAAATCTGGCAGAAGGTAAACTGAACTTCAAGGCATTGTTTGGCTGGTCTAAAATTTATTTTCATGACCTTCACTGGAAG